CTATTGAAAAGGTTACAGAGAAAACTGTGTTTTTGCTTTATTTGTTTTTTTTTTTGCAGCCTTGCAATAAGCAGATGGAACTTGGTCCCACTGGGATTTCCTTGCACTTACACTTACAGTGAAAAAACCCCACAGCTATTGAATAAAATTGCTTCTCTCAACCTGTGGCTTTCCTCTGTTCAGCATTCAACCCTCATCACTCCAATGTGGAACTTTTACACAACCTCATAGGCTCCATAGCTATTACTGCAGTCTCCTGCTAATCAGTCTTCATCACCTTCTTTCTTGCTCGTCCTCTGATTATCTCACTGACACGTGTACACACACATACATGAGCAGCAGTCAAACAAATTAACCACAGAATAGCCTCAGGGGGGTGTCTGGACTCTAAGCTATAAATCAAACAAATACAATGACTAGAGGGGAGAAGATAACAAAAGACATTTCTTAGAGCTAGAAGGCTCGTAGGTTTGAGGGTTATTTTATTTTCTTATCCTCAGAAGCATGCTGGCTTCACGTATCCAAGGATAACTTGGTTTCTTTATCAGTAGATCTACCTTTAGCCTGACTTTAAATTGCATTCAATACCACTTTTTGTTATTTTTATCTAACGTGGGGAAAAATCAACAGTGGCCCAAAAGAGCAAAAGATGAAAAATAGATCAAACATCTTATAGACCACGAAAGATATGACAGTAGGATAAATTGTGCATAATGATGTCAAAAATAATGAACTTTTAGAAGAGTTTCAGTCTGGCTTTAGAGCTCATCATAGCACTGAAACAGCTCTGGTGAAAGTCACTAATGATATTCTCATGGCCTCAGATAATGGACATGTATCTGTGCTCGTCCTGTTAGATCTTAGTGCTGAATATTATGATCAACTGCATACAGTTGATCATAATATTCTTTAAGAAAGACTTCAATATTTTGTAGGAATTAAAGGAACAGCACTAGACTGGTTTCTGTCTGACCAATTTTAGTCTGTTTACATTAATAATAATTACATTATAATAACTGATTCCACAGGGATCAGTGCTAGGAACAATTCTCTTTACTTTATACATGCTCCCAGTCGGTAGAGTTATTAGACAGCATGGGAATAATTTCCACTGTTATGCTGATGATACTCTGCTGTATCTGTCTATACCACTAGATAAAGCTAACCCATTACATAGATTACAGGCATCTCTTGAAGACATAAAAACCTGGATGACTCTTAACTTTCTGCTTCTGAATGCAGACGTTATGGTCTTTTGACCAGAGTCTTTAAAAAATGAAGCACATTAGTCATTCACTTCATTTGGGTGGGATTAAATTGATCTCAGATAATAAAGTAAAAAATCTTGGTGTTGTTTTTTATCAGGACCTGTCGTTTATATCCTATATCAAAGAGGTTTCTAGAATTTCCTTCTTTCATCTGCGGAAGATTGCAAAAATTAGAAATCTCCTGTCCAGGGGTGATGCTGAGAAACTAGCCCATGCATTTGTTACTTCAAGGCTGCACTATTGTAATTCTTTACTATCAGGAAGTCCACAAACTGCTGTTAAAAGCCTTCAGCTGATCCAAAATACTGCAGCCAGAATTCCGATGAAAATTGTAAAGAGAAATCATATCTCTCCTATGCTACCTTTACTTCAAAGTCTTCCTGTTAAATCCAGAATAGAATATAAAATCCTCCTTCTCACATATAAAGCCTTAAATGGCCAAGCTCCATCTATATCAGAGATCTGATTGTTCCTTATGTTCCTATCAGAGCACTTTGCTCTCAATCTGCAGGTTTACTGGTTCTGGGAATTTCTAAAAGTAGAATGGGAGGCAGATCTTTTAGTTATCAGGCTCCTCTCCTGTGGAACTACCAGCTTTAGTCTGTAAGGCAGACACCCTGTCTACTTTTAAGGGTAGGCTTAAAACCTTTTTTTTAAAAGCTCATAGTAAAGTGGCTCAGGTTATCCAGAGCCATGTTATTGCCAGTGCTATAGTTATGCTGCTATAGGCTTAGACTGCTGGAGGACATAGGGACCCTTTTTCATCTGTTTCATTCTATCGCTATTTTCCCATTCTGCAGAATTTGTTAGTTCAATCTCTAACATTATGTTCTGTTACATCTTCCTATTTTATCTCCGTCTCCTGATGGCTTTTTGAAGTATGAGTATAAGTAAATCGGGAGCACATAAGGGTCGAGCCTGTGCTTTGTTTAGCTTGTGAATATACTTATTAAATGTAAATTTGAAATATTATCTCAGCAAATCAAACATAAATGAATGTAATTTATGTGCATATAGCCACTATTTATTAAGTCTGATAGCAGCAGGAATGAAAATGTCTCTGATCCATGAGGTTCAGGCACAAAGATAGCAGAAGCAGTTTTTGTACTGAAAAAGAAGACCATCTAAGAGACAGGAACTCTCTGTGATTACCGGAGAACAGCTCCTTTAATGACCAAGACTTGATCCCGACATGTCTGGTATGTGCTTTGATGTTTGCAAAAGAATGCTGGCATTAACTATATTAGAACATGTTGAGTTACTTTTCAAGGATCCTGCAAATGCATTGTTGGACTCGTTCATGGAGTTAGAGAAGCACAGTTATAGATGCAGCTCTCAGGAGAAAGTTTTCATCAAGGCTGAGCATTGTCTGCAGCAGTACATAGGTGGGTGGCTCTAAATAATATCCAAATGACCCATAACCTAATGATTCTACCAGAATAGTGCACTAAAAAGAGACGTGTGGTGGTATTCTCCCTGTTTAATTTAGGCTGTGCATTTGTGCATAAAGCCTTTAGAAAAGCTTATTTTCCCTCATTTAGCTCTAAATTTTATTTCTCAGCAACTCACGGAGGCTATCCAATTATCTTGATAACAATGCAAATTTTAACACCGGAGTAACGGATGCAAAATGTTGCAAATGTTTTATTCATTATTAACTTCATTTTACATTTTTAGCGGTTGATTCAAGGTATTTTAGTTACGGATCCAACAGCTCTCTATATAATTGTGGGTTAATAATTGAAATGGAAGGAGGGCATTGTCAGACACTACAACAATCCATTGCTCAAGCACAGAGGGTCTTAAGGCTCTGAGATGTTAAAGCAAAGACAAATCTCTAAGAATCCTCTGAGGCCTTCACAGAGAAATGGAATTTAAATTGAGATTTCACAGATTAAATTACTACACAAAACAGCAATCTATTAGATAAATGTTCTGTATTTTGTTTAGAGATATTTGTGTAAATATGGATGAATAGTAATGCACACCATTTTTGTTTGTAACAGCAAGTACATTGTGATAAACATTTTAGGTGCTTTTACCGAGATAATAAATAAATAAATGTAAAATGGAAAGGAGGCGCATATACTCTAACAAAAGTGACTCAGTTTAAGCATGGTGGGGAGTTTATTCTTGTTTCCCTCAAGCACCAATTTGCACAGCATTATTCCTCACAAACACCATATGCATGAGACTGAAAATTTTACCACATTAAAGGAAAAGATGAGTGAAAACTCAGGGTCAAGCTAGAACGTCTGTTCTGAATTTACAGCTTGGGGTTTGAGACACTGAACTGTCAATCTATCTTTTTTTGACCTCATCATGTTCAAGTCAGTGAAGCTGTCGTCATATTGGAGAGGAAGAGATGAAATTTCCTTGTTCTTAATCCCCAGTGTCCTGCTTTTATAAAAATATGGAGGAGAGATGTTAAACCTCTCCATAAATAATGCCCCAGACATATAAAGAGTCAGTAAACCAACCAGTTAGATCATTCCTGACATGTCGGTAGCTTTTTATGTAACTCTTTATAGCAATCAAACTTTATAGGTAGATCATTTTACAGGGACCAAATTTTGATAGGCTCATAAAATACAAAAAATGTAATGATAAAAATCCAATCAAATGCCATATCCACAGCAAAATTAATGTGTAACATAAGTGATGGTAATCTAGCACTAACTGAAATAATTATTGGGTTATTTTAAGTCAAATAGCGTTTTTAAAGGCACACACTGCTGCATTACAGCAGGTGCATCTGTGAGCATCTCTGCCATTAAGAGGACAGAGCTTTAGTGCCCCCTTGTGTTAACAGTTGGAATTGTTGGGTTTTTCTCTTGTTTTGTTCTTTTCTTTTTTTTCCTTTTTTTTTAGAGAATCAACGCTTTTTACAATTTTCAAAGCTGATTCATTCGAAACTAATAAAGCTTTCGTGTGTTTTGTGATCGCTTCTTAGAAACAATAATGAAACACTTATCATTCAGTCTTCATATAGGCTACATTTATTTGTCTAAACCACCTTTGAATTATTGCTAGCACATGATTAAAAGGAATTAATTTAATTTTCTTAAGCTTTAATTGATTATTTTGAATTTAGAATAAAAAAACTACTTTTAATTTTCTTTATTACAGATGCAATATAGTACATCTTAATTTATAAAATAAGATAATCATATCATTACACATGCTCATATGAACAATAATTATCAGTGTGAGAACACTAAAAAAAGAGTGATTTAATTTATTACATAGTAATATGTTTATCTTCGTTTAGTTATTGAAAAATAACATCGTTTTATTTTGAAAGCAGCAAAAGAAAGTTTACAATAATAATAATCTGTGTAATAATTTGCATGACAAAATGGGGTACATTTATACTTAACATTATATTTGTTGAATAGTGTGAAGTAGATTTGCCCTTTTTAAGCCTGTTTTTGAGAGGTTCGTTTCAATTAAATGTTTTTGTTTATGAATTGGTACTCAAAATTAGAGTTTATAGTCTTTAAAGAAGTATTTTTCTGCATGTGAGGCAAATTTTAAAGCGTCTTTATTGGAGAAAATAAATCATAACAGAATGCTTTCCTGACTATATTTTGTATTTGAGTTGCAGGGAGGTCGTGGGTGAAGCAGATGTAGTGGCCCCTGCGTGTGTTGCAGACAGCGGCGCACGGAGCCCAGGCGCTGCATCCTCTCACTGTCTGCAGCCGCGGAGCAGCAGCGCGCATGCGCAGTGCATCCAGGCGAGCTCGGCGGAGATCGGTGCTGAAGCGGGGCGGATGGCAGGAAAAACAGCGGCGCTGGACACGATAACACCGTGGGATTCCCATCCACCATGCCTCTAAACAAGCGTCGCGACGCCGCGTTTTCACACCCATCACTGTAGGACAGTGACAGGCCAGCGGGAAGAGGTAAGACTCCGCTTGTTCGGGCTAACTGGGGCTAGCCGCCGCCGCCTCCTCCTTGCGCTGTCAGAGATAGCGGCTCTCGGGCTAAAAGCTAGCCAGCGAGAAAGTGGGTGGTGTTTGATTTGTGGAGAGCCTCTGTGCGATACTCGGCACCGAGCAGCTCTCTCCCCGGCTGATTTGTTACTCATTAGCTAAAGCTAGGAGGACTTCCCCTCTTTCAGACACACAGCGGTTCCAGCAGCTGCACGCGACCCAGAGCAGGAGGCTAGCAGCGCAGCTAGTGCACACAGAACAGAAGCTGGTCTACTTCACATCTGAAGATATGCACAGGCCTTTACACACTGATCCCAAACACCCCGGGTTGTGACAGTTCACCGATCATGTCTAAAACAAACCATCCCACAGAGTTTATGCCTTTAAAGCTTTTGTTTTTTCCGCTATGTGAGATGATTTTGTCCTCTTGAGGGAACAGCCACTCTGCAGTTTCCCATGGGTGTGTTGATTCTGAGCACAGGTTATGTTCCAGCTGCATCCTAGGACACTATGATCCCATTAACTTGGGTGATCAACTTAAACATGGGAGACACATTTCTCATCACCATGTTCCAGATTATCTGAAACATGTATGTAACTTATGGATGTCTACATGAACATTATAAAACCCAATGATTAATTAGTAAACCAGGTGTTTGGTCTGAGTTATGCTGAAAGCCTGATGGATTCATTTTAGTATAGTCATTTTAATGTATTTCTCAGTTAAATTTGGGTTTGGTTTTGTTGCTGTTAGTCTGTTTAACTGAATGAGTGATAGGGACAGAGCCGGCCCGAGCCTCTTGGGGGGCCCTAAGCAGAATTTGATTTGGGGCCCCCCCCCCTCCTACCATACAGAATCACCTATACTAGAAGATTACTGACACAAATGTCACACTATAATGTTACAGTGAATATTAAAAATGAATAGACTATGGTAATGTATTAATACAAAATAAATAAACAATACTTACAATACTTTGTTTTATTAAACCTTTTGAATACAAACATTAAATAACTTATTTGCAAATGTGCATTAAATGTGCATTAAATGTGCAATATTTTAAATAAAACCAATATAGACAAACATTAATATCAAAAATAGAATGTTACAAAAACAGATACTTAAATAAGGAAAGCAAACAAAAAAACAGCAAGGGTTCAACAATGAATTGTACAACAATGCCCTCAAAATCGTTCCTTCCTAGCTTTTCTGGAGGCAAAGTCACTGATGACATCATTGTATGGTATTGCTTGGCCAACTTTGTTATTAATACTAATGACTGCAAGTCCACTTAGTCTTTCCTGGGCCATTGATGATCTCAAGTATGATTTTATTAATTTGAGCTTGGAAAAGCTCCTCTCTGCTGAGGCAACTGTCACAGGCAGAGTGCAGGATATCCTGAGAGCTACCCAAAGATTTGGGTAAAGCTCAAACATCTCATTTTGTGAGAGGTATGTGAGAAGCTCAAAGGCAGTTTTCATAGTTTGGGGAAGTTCAGGAAGACTCTCTATCTCTAATGCCAGTGCGTTACCATCAATATCAGCCTCCTCTCCACAAGTGAGTTTTTCCGCAAGAAGCTCACATTGTTCCCTCCGGACTTTTTGATCAAGCTCCCTAAAATTGAGCAGCACTCCAAAGTTATCTTTAACCTCACTTAGAGATGTAAATCTATCCTCCAATGACTGAATGCTACAATCCACTACGGCATTAAAAAATGATACTTCAAGCCTCTTCATAGCATCCACTATAGGCTCATCTGCAGCCTCATAGGCAAAGTGCCTTTTTGTAGAACGCAATCGCTTCTCTTTCAGCACTGCTTCTGTGTTCATCCGCTCACAAATTTCTTTAGCAGATGCCTGTGCATCACAGAAGCCTGTTTTTCGGTAACTGATAAGTTCACCTTTGTTCTTTTTTAGAAGGTTAACTGCTACATCAAGCTGCATGTTTTTTGACTGTAGAAGCTTGCTCGTGATGTTAATTTTAGACAAAATGTCATACCAGACAACACAACAAATCTGGAACCTAAATGAACCTATCTCTTCCGCAAGCGAGTTGGCTTCAACAGCCACTACAGGGTCAGTCGCTTTGCTTCTCACTTCTAGCAGGGCTTCCCTCACCTTCTCTGACTGGTACCGCAAAGCTTCAATGCTTTTTATCCTGCTTTCCCAGCGTGTTTCACTCCAGGATTTGAGTGTGATGTCAACAAACTTCCGTAAGACGTCCCACCTTTGAGTGGACCCAGCGAACAAATCGTACACCTTCTCTACATTTCCAAAAAAACAAGAAGCATCCATTGATGCTTTAGCCGCATCTGACACTGTCAGATTTAGTGTATGGGAACTGCAAGGCACATAAAAAGCTCTTGGATTCTTAACCAATAGCCTAGCCTGCACACCTTTGTTTTTCCCCTTCATATTAGCCCCATTGTCATAGGACTGCCCCCGACAATCCTGAAAAGGGATGTTCAATTCCTCAAGCCTGTTAAGGATTAAATTGGACAAACCCGGGCCAGTGGATTCTGGAGCTATCAGAAATCCTAAAAAGTGCTATTTTATTTCTGGTGTTGTGCCCAGAGTGACTGTGCGCACCACAACAGACATTTGTTCATGGTGACTAACATCAGGTGTACAGTCTAAAATTATTGAATAATATTTGCAGTCCTTGATTTCTGCCACCATTACCTCAATTATTTTGTCACTGACACACTATCAGCTCATTCTGGATAGTCTTACCCAGGTACGTGTTGTGCTGCATTCCACTATCAATTCGTCTGATGTGATCTTTTAACACAGGGTCAAATTTTGCCAGCAGTTCCACCTCTTTAAGGAAGTTCCCATTGTTGGCCTGATGCAAAGTATCAACAGACCCCCTGAGTGCAAGATTTCTCTCTGCCAAAGACTGAATGATACTAATCAAACGGATAAGAACATCTCTCCAACGATTTCTTTCTGCATCCAAAAGGGCCATTTCTGTTGCATCAATAGTCTTCTGCTTAGAAAGATGGAGGGCAAAATCTTTCCACTTTACCATATTATTGCAATGATCTTGACTATTTTCATGCTGTTTCAGCAAAGCACCTACATTTACCCAATCACACAGTCCCTCTGATGACAGCTTTGTGGACTTTTTTGAAAATAATTTGCAACAGAAGCAGTAAACTGCATCACTTTTCTTTGAATAAATTAGCCAGCTTCGCTTGATTTTTTTCCCCATTAACTAATTGTCTGTATGTATAGTGGTAGTGAAAGCTTCGTCCATCTGATCTCTTGGGGAATGTAGAGGTGTCACTGATTGGCGCTGGCCCTCTTCTTACCAGATCAGTCCTTTCTGAATCTGAGAGGAATGCTGACCATTCAACTGGGTCAATTGGAGGAGCTGTTGATCCATCTTGATAGCTGGAGCTTGTTGAGGCAGTGGATGGGAAATCTATAGCAGTGGGTGCAGATGTAGAAGGACCTGTAGGGACAATAGATTACATAAAAAAGAATAAAATAACATAGCAGAAAATTTTATTGTAAAGCAGACACAAAACAAAAACTTAGATTAACAGACCTGTCATGCTGGCTGAGTTTGAAACCAGTGGATCAGTAAATGTAGGTGCTTGTAACTGCTCCTCGCTTTCAGTCACATGTAAGTGCTCCTCCCTTGATGTCGCTTGTGCAGTGGATGAACCTGCAATGATAAAACAAACAAAGAAAAAATAAAGAAATAAATAAAAAGCTAAATGTTTCATGTCATATTAACAGGCTATGTAACCATTTGCCATCAAGAAAACCCTCACCTGCTGCATCATCAGCTGTGGAGGCACTGACACTCGAAACAGTAGGGGCAGGTAAAGTTGGTTGTTCTCCAAAGTACTTCAACAGTGTTCCTGGGAAAAATAGCATTGCATAATGCATAGTTTTTATTTATTTATTTATTTCGAACAGACAGTAAAAACAATCAAGAAAGAAAAAATTTGAATGAAACAAACTTAAGAATAAAAATATAAAACAAATTATTTTGCCCATGTGACATGCAAATTTTATATTTTCATTATTCATTCATTCATTCATTTTTATATTTTCAATTACATTATAGACTATTAAACAGTCATCTTATATAGCGTATTTTGAAATGAGCTCGGTTTTAATCCGTTTTTTAAATTGGTTTGCATTTATAATTTTTTTAAACTCGTCATTCAATCCATTCCAGACATTTACTCCACACACAGATAAACAAAAAATCTTCCTGGGTGTTGTTTTTTAAAGTATCCTTCACCTCTTAGATCATATGCCCCCCCCCCCCCCCCCCCCCCCCCCCCCCCCCCCCCCCCCCCCCTCTCTCTGTCACCAAACATTTCCTGTATATTGTGTGGAAGTTTTTGATTTCGGACCTTAAACATGAATTGTGAAGTTCTAAATATTACCAGGTCCCAGAATTTCAGGATATTTGATTTGATAAATAACTGATTTGTGTGTTCCCAATATTGTTCCCGGATTGATTTTTTTTTGTAAAACGTATAATGGCTGTAAATTTGTTTTGTATGTATTCCCCCAAACTTCCACACAATATGTTAAATGTGGTACAATAAGTGTTTTGTACAAAATAAACAAAGATTTGTAGTCCAGGACGAAACTAATTCTTATAACAGCAACACTTTTGGTTATTTTAGATTTTACTAGGCTGATCTGAGGTTTCCAGCTAAACTTATCGTCTAATATGACACCCAAGAATTTTATTTCATGTACTTGTTCTAAATCAACACTTTCAATTGATATTTTAATTGGATTGTTTTCCTGTTTTTTATTGTTTCCGAATATCATGAATTTGGTTTTATCTAAATTTACTGATAATTTATTGTAGAATCAGTTTATTTTCCCATCTTGCACCACAAGAAACTCCACACCTCACCTAACAATTCATATTCTATTGGCAAATGAGGCATAATTGCCATATGGTAAAAACTTAACATTGTGATCTACTGCAGCCTAAATATGAGGAAAGCACCATGTTAATAAAACTGCACTCTATTTTCATTTTTGGTATATTTTCTAATAAAGATAAAATACCATCTCTCACCAAAGATCTTAGAGCAGAGAGCGCATGTGCTTTGTCTATTAAGTTAGTAGATTCATTTTAACACAAACAACAATGTTTAAGCTGGCTGCTGGCATCTGTGTTTTCTTCAACTTAAACCGATATCTATCCATCCATCCATTATCCTCCGCCTATACGGTGTTGGGTCGCGGGAGTAGCAGCTTCAATAGCGAGGCCCAGACGTCCCTCCCCTCCGGGGGAATCCCAAGCAGGTGTTCCCAGGCCAGGCCAGGCCAGGCCAGCCGAGAAACATAGTCCGTCCAGCATGTGCTGGGTCTCCTACGCCGATATGTATCAACACATAAAATACACACCTACCTAAATAAATGTATATTAATAACGGGTAATATTTCACTGTTAATGGTGATGGATGGCTGATAAATATCACGACATGAGTTATGATGACGAGCTAGCTGTGCTGCTGCTGCACAAAATATAGCGGTCAGTAAATAATCATGCAAACATACCTTTATCTTGCTCTTTTTTCTCTTCCTCTTTCCTTTTCTTTTTTCTTTTTTCGGCACCAGAGGGATAAATCCTTTTTTGTGATATGGCTTAGACTTTCTTATTAACAGGTGCGCGCCAGCATGAATTGTCAATGCAGGCGCGCGCCGCATACCGTGAGCTGTCTGCGGCTGCCGTCGCAAAGTGAATGCGCATGAGCAGTTGTGGACAAATCAGAATTTTTTTTGTCTTGAATTTTTTATTTATTAATTGGTATTCATCATTTATATCACTTGTTTAAGTTATTTAAATGTAAAAAAAAAAAAAAAAAAAAAAAAAAAAAATTGACCAGGGCCTGTTCAATCATTTTTGCTTGAAGCCCCCTGGCCACCAGGGCCGCTTAGTTCGCTTATGCCTCGGGCCGGCCCTGGATAGGGAACATATCTTAGATCTTATATTTATAATTTGGAGGTCTCCAACAGGGGGTCCGCGACCCCTAAGGGGTCCACGGAGGTACTCCATTGGGGTCGCAAATGTTTTGGTTGATCACTTTTTATATATATATATAAAAAAAAAAAAAACTGTTTTCTCACCCCTCGTGGGGTGGTATGTGTCATCCTCAAGCTCGGGTCCTCTACCAGAGGCCTGGGAGTTTGAGGGTTCTGCGCAGTATCTTAGCTGTTCCTAGGACTGCGCTCTTCTGGACAAAGACCTCTGATGTTTTACCTGGAATCTGCTGTAGCCACTCTCCCAGTTTGGGGGTCACAGCCCCCAGTGCTCCAATTACCACTGGCACCACTGCTGCTCTTACTTTCCACATCTTTTCTAGCTCCTCTTTCAGCCCTTGGTATTTCTCAAGCTTCTCGTGTTCTTTCTTCTTGATGTTGCTGTCGCTTGGGATTGCCACATCTATCACTACTGCCTTCTTGTGCTGTTTGTCGATCAACACGATGTCTGGTTGGTTAGCCATCACCTGTTTGTCAGTCTGGATCTTGAAGTCCCATAGGATCTTAGATCTTATATAGATATATATATATATATATATATATATATATATATATATATATATATATATATATATATATATTTCCCCTGCAATTTTTTTCGACTAATTGAAATGTCTTTAAATACACATTAACATGAAATCAACACACTGTAGTAAACAGATAATTGGAGGCAGAAGATGTCTTTTAGTCATCAATGCTCACATTCAGCGACACAGAGGAGCTCTTTCAAGCTGGGCACCATTTCATTCACAACACCTGTCCCATCAACCAGGAATCAGAATCAGAAATACTTTAATAATCCCAGGGGGAAATTACTTTCGTTACATTACTCCATCTGTAATAGAGAGACTATAGGACTAGTTTGATATAACACAATTTCATACAATATATATAATTAGGGGGTACTCTTTTATAATTGTATTTTAATGTATTTTTACTTTGTTGTGCGTGAGCAAGCCAAAGGCAAATTTCTAGCATCATTGTGTATGGTAGACGATAAAGTTTTTTTCTATTTCTATTTCTAAACTGGAGCTGAACAGCAGCATGTGGGGGTGGGGCAGAGCTCTGTTTAATGTGCTATTCAACGAGAAAAACTCACTGCAGCACATTCTCTGGAATATAATGAAATTAAGTTTAAAGCATAGGGATAGTAGGAAATAAAGTTATTCTTTTTTTTTTTTTTTTTTACAAATGTTCGTTTTTGTAGTATGACAGCCTTTATTTTGAAAGTGGCCTGACAGGAAACAGGGTGAAGAAAAGAGGAAGACATAAAGCAACAGTCTCTATGGGTTGGGACTCCAGCCTGGGATGGCGGTGTGTTGAATGTGGCCCTGCTCCATTATTCAACCTAACTTTGAAGGCAGTTCTTTCCTAAATAGGTTGATATGAAGGTATTTCAAAAAAGGCTTCTTTACCAATCAGTATTAGGTTCATCTTAAAGTTTTAACTTTGTACAATTCTTTTTTGCACATGCATTTTTGAGGAAGTAACTTTAGGGAAGTCTTTTTCCTGGATATTGGCTGTGGAAAATCTCTCAAGTGCAATGCAAACGAAAACCTTATCTTTGCACACGGCTATGCAAAATCTCTTTTTAAAGGCCCTTAAAATACAGAAGAACCTTTTGTTTAAAACCCATCTTTTTTAAACTGCCATCAGCAGTTATAAAGGCTTTTCCCTTTGCAGGGCTGTTTTTTGACAGTTTTTTTCTGTGGACTAATACTCATCCTGCATGTATTATATGATAGAAGGAGGCTGGTGAAAGGTGCAAATATTATTGATTTCGATGCACCTAGAAATAACAAAAATGGAAATGGTCTATACTGTTAATTTACCAAACATATTAATTGATAAATGCTTAAAAAAATAGTTTTCAAGCTTAGGGGACTGGCATTAAAAAATTAATGCCGGTTAAATAAATGAAAAAGGTTAAATATGCACCAAAAATAAAGATGTAACTAGTATTTTAATAATTAAATAAGGTGTATTTTTCATGCTTATTTTAAGGTTTAACAGAGTAGTGATAGTTCAGAGCAAGCTTCTGGTTTTGGATCAACTCGTGAGCTCTCTAAAGTAGCTGGTATTAGTTGATTCAGTGTCGGAAAACTTTCCTTAAAGGGATGGTTAAATCCTTTTCAGGGAGGGCGCTGTAGTGAGGCTCTGAGCAGTAACTGTTTTACTCACACTCTTTAATTGCCTGTACACTCCCAGTTTCAGTAAAAGAAGCCGATTCATAGCACAGAGTTTAGCTAACAGCTGTTCAGACAGGGCCAAAGCCATAGCACATGTCTATCATTTGAAAACTGCCGGTGTTCTGTCAGAAGTGCATACTCTGTCAGACCAGCATACCCATAATCAATCCCCCTTTATCTCTTTAGTTTATCCCTTTAGTTTGGTACGTAAAATACACTTCAACCACCTCAATGAGCGTTTATCCCTTTAGTCATGTCCAAAAAAACTATTTAATTACTTTCTTTTTGGTGTTTTTTGAAGCATATGGCGATCTGACCTTAAATTGTTTTTTTTTTTTTGTTTTTTTTTTTTTTTAGAGACTAAAGGGATAATATGGAAGACCATTCCTGCCATATTTAAAAATATGTCAGCTCACTGACCACTTCATCGTAGGCAGCCATGTTTGTTGTGACAGTGGCCGGTGGCTGCTAGCCCACCAATGGGGAAAAGATGAGCCCTTAAAGGAATAGTACACCCAAAACATGATTAGCCTTCATTTTCTACTCACCCCCATGCTGAACAACACTCTGGAGTACTTTTTTGATATCTCAAATGCATCTGGAGATCTGGGAGGCTTTTTACTGTCTGCGGACATTCAATTAATGGAGGTCTATGGTGCCCGAGGCAGAAAGGTCCATAAAAGTCCACAAAAAAACGTGTCAATATTCCTCCATACTGCTCGTCCAATGTAATCCAAGTGTCCTGAGTGGGTAGCGTCCAGAATTTACTCGAAACGAAGTCATTTAGAATGTTTTTAGAGCCTAAACAGTAGTGTATAGGATTTCCTAAAAGCGCGTTCACGAGTCTACGGAAACCGCGGCAGACCAAACCAGATGAAAGTGCGCATTCAGCTCGGCAAAGAACTCATGCTCTTCCTCAACACTGAAGTCCTCAGACATTTTTCTTTCGTTGTTTCTTTCTTTGCACAGGTAAACAGCACCTTTCTTCTTCTACGCTTGCATTATCGGCAGAGCAGACGCTGAATGCGCACTTTCATCTGGTTTGGTCTGCCGCGGTTTCCGTAGCGTCGTGATCGCGCAGGTGCGCGCTTTCAGGAAATCCTATACACTACTGTTTATGCTCTAAAAACATTCTAAATGACTTCGTTTCGAGTAAATTATGGACGCTATCCACTCAGGACACTTGGAATACATTGGACGAGCAGTATGGAGGAATATTGACACGTTTTTTGTGGACTTTTATGGACCTTTCTGTCTCGGGCGCCATAGACCTTCATTATTTGAATGTCAGCAGACAGCAAGAAGCCTCCCAAATCTCCAGATGCATTTGAGATATCAAAAAAGTACTCCAGAGTGTTGTTCAGCATGGGGGTGAGTAGAATATGAAGGCTAATCATGTTTTGGGTGTACTATTCCTTTAAGACACACCTCTCCTCATATGCATAATTAGGCAAAACTGCATACAGAAATGTAAATACGACAGGCAGAAATAAATAGCATTGAAGAAATGAATAGGGTTAAAAAAAAATACAAAGGAACAATTAACCAGACAAAAATTATATTTGCATGTTATAATTATAACACATAAATAAATACTTAAAGAAATAAGTAATAAATAAATAAAGTTGAAGAATATAAAGGACAATAAATTAATAAGGTAATTACTATTACTATTAATAGTGGTAATTACTATAACGCGGTTCACTTTTCACGGTCTCGCTGTTTCACGGATTTGTATCATGTATTGTTAAACTTTATTGTCAAACATAATCGATGGTGGCTTGTCGGTTTATAAGGATCTTTTGGCCCAGAAGAAAATAGAGGGACAACAACTACCGATAACTATGTTCTTCTCGCCAAAAAACACACCTGCACTGCAGGCTTTAGAAGAAAAAAACGCCACAGAGCAGAGTCAGAATGCAGCGGCTCCGTCAGAACAGCAGTGAAATAGTGTACTGTACTGTACACGTCAGTCACTATTTCTCCTACTGTACTTTGTATTTTTTTTTCATAATCATTTTTCATTTCAATTTTCCCATTCCAATCCGTCACGGTGGGGCGGTGCTGATCCCTGCAATACCCTTCAGTTCGTATTGATGATTAAAATTATTACTTATTTATTTATAACTATATTATGTTACAGTACAGTACAGTAGTTATTTGTTTATAAGTTTTTGTTCCTTGATTTCAATGTTTTATGGAGTATTTCATTGTATAATAACTGTTAAGAAATAAAGGTTTCTACTTCACGGATTTCGCCTATTGCGGGTTCTTTTTGGAGCGTAACCCCCACGATAAACAAGGGTTTACTGTATTACAAAGGCAAATAAACAAAGAAGCTAATTAAGAGGTATATTTATGTTTCACTGTATAATTTAATTTCTACCTACATTTATTTATTTATTGTATTTTTTTGGGGGGGGGACAATTAATTGTATGCTTATTTAGTTTTGGAGCATTTATTTATTTCTGTATTTATTTTTAATTATGGCAGGATTGGTCCTCCATAAATACACGCCCGTTGAGGTAGTCTATTTTTTTAGTATAAAACTAAAGGAATAAACACAAATCTGACGTCTTGCGCTTGTGTTTTGTCTATAGGTATTGCTGGTCTTACGAGGTATGCTCATCTGACAGAACACCGGTTTATTCTGTAAACCTTTAGTCCGACAATATATTTGTGTTGCATTGACTTTTAGAGGTGGGTAATTTTACTCTGAATCTAAATCAGAGTTTTCCTCTGCAAGCTGTTTGTGTTGAAACATGGCGGATGCTAAACAACGGCTTTGTAAAACAAAAAGAAAATGTTAGATTTTCTATTAAAGGGCCACATATTTACCATGCAAATCTAATCTAGTAACAATGTTTTCCAATTTAGACCTTTTAAAAAAGTTTTCCACCATGCCAGAGTCTGGTTTCTGGAGCCGATCACACATCTTTGAGCCCATCCGTACCCTGGCATGGTTACAACTGCTGAACGTGGTTTGCTTTATTCAAACTGCAGAGCGCTTTGCTTGCTGAGTGACGGTGTGGCGGGCCCAGGATGTACGAAAAGCAGGAAGAGAAGGTGCAATGAAAGAGCAGCAAGTTTAAGTAAAAGAAAAATAACAGCACCAATCCTAAGACATGGGGATGTGTGGTTGGGCAACGAGAAGTTTTGGACACCAAAGTAGCAAGAGAAATCCCCTGGACTGCCAAACTGTTTTCATGTGGCTGTCTTCTTCCTGTTTTTATTTTCCTCCATCTTGGAAGTGCAAAAAAATGTTTAGCTTTGTCCCTGTGTAAAAAAAAAAAAAAAAAAAAAAAAAAAAAGAAGCTGCAGCAAGTGAAGTTGTGAATTTTTTGCTGTTAAACCGATCCCTGGACCGGACAGGCAGCGTGAATGCACCCTGATGTTTGATTTTGTGGAGTATTTTTATTCTTTTTTAATTGATTCTCAGCCTTCAAGAGTCTCCCTCAAGCTCCTGATATAAATGATTCTTTCCCTCTTGTGAAGTTATTTGCTGAAGCTTATATTCGTCTAAAGCAGTGTGTCCCAACCTTTTTTTTTCGTCTTGTGTACCCCTTTGGGCATTTCTCTTACCATTAAATCCCCCTCTCAGTCAAAAATATTTGTGACTGTCCAAAACTGGAATGAACTATAACTAATTATAAAATTAAAAGTATTTTATTGAATCCCTTTATCCTTGGGGAATACATTTTTTGGCATGTTATTCTTTCCAACTCCAATAAAAAAACAACATAAATATGTTTCCCAGAAGCAGGTAACAATCAAATAATAAATACAAAATAAAATCATACTATAAATCTGCCTTTATAAAACTGGAGCTCCTCTAAGTAACTCCCCTATAATTACATTTAAACATTAGAGATTGGAAACAAAATGCTGTTGTCAGACTACCTCCATTTACATTGTTTTCATCATTCATGACACCTGAGCTGCTTTCATGAGCTCAGGTGTAGAAAAACAGCTGATGCCAGGCTGTTCTGTATTTGCAGCCTGTTCCTCTGCTTGATTTTGATATCAAAGCTGAAGGTGAATTCAAACATATAAAAAGAACATGCTTTTTGGTTGAAAAAAGCTTGTTTTATCTTGTTTTAAGTAGAACAGATCCCAGCCCTATTTTGTTACCTGAGAAATTCATTATTTTCATCTACCCCTTGCAATACTCTCGCAGACCACTAATGGTACAACTAAAGCTTTATGGTTACTAGTGTTGCGCCGATGCCATATTTTTGGCCCTGATACCGATACCCGATACCTGGCTGTGCAGTATCGGCCGATACCATAATAATGTAAAATAATTGCCATCATGGCTTTGTCAAGCTGCTGCCTACCTTTGTGAAGCAGGAAAAAATCTAATACAAAGTGAATCCAGTAGAACTTTTTAATAAAAAGTTCTACTGGATACTCGCCGATACCGATACCACCATTTTAGGGCAGTATCGGGGCCCCGTCCGATACTGGTATCGGTATCGGTGCAACACCAGTGGTTACCAGGGCTAAACCATTTTGACAAAATCTAACATTGCAGTTAGATTTTGCTTTCCTTCTGCACTAGTGTCCACCAACATGTAGATGTTTCCTGCAGGCTTTCACTCATTTTCAGGACCTTGGAAGTGCGCTTGCCTAGAGCCCATTGTTGCAGGACTTTACTCCTGCTGTTGCTTCGAAAAGAGCTCACTGGTACTCGCATGGATCACTGCGCTAACTGCAACTCTCTCTTCCCATGCGTGTGACATAGGGCTGCAAATAACGATTATTTTTGCAAATCGTTTAATATCGGATAGAAAAAGTTCCTTAAAGAAGGTTCTTTTACTAAGTTAAAGCAGGTGAAATTAAAATATTTCCACTTGAGGAGTTCTGGATAGAGCATATTGACAGATGAAAGTTTTCTTTTTTTTTTTTTTTTTTACTTAAATGCAAAATATCTATATATTGTTTTACAATCTTGGTATACCTACTGCTCTAAATGGGTGCTCTCTCAGCTAAAGGCATGTTTAGAGTCGCTATATATATACCAGTTAACGATTAATCGATTAATATGTTAGCTGACAATTGTTTCAATAATTGATTGATCATGATTAATCTCATTAATTGTTTCAGCCCTACCAGCAAACTCTCTTTAATTGCATTACAGTCTCCTAAAGGGCTTGAGTGAGAAAGTCAGTGTCTTACTTTAGTTACATATAATGTGACAAAATCTACTGACTCTGCTATTTAAAATATAGTTTTGTTACATTTTTGTTATATTGCAAATGTAATTGATAGCCAGGTCTAGCTCTTACCAAAAGGAATGTCTAGGAAAAGTTTTGAATAGATTGAACAGATTGAAATCCAGTCATATCTACTCAGGTCAGCCAGTCATGTGACATTGATGGTGATGCAACAGAAGATTGTGGGCGTTTAACTGAAGCAGAGGAACGATGTCAGCAGTCCTGTCAGTTTTACTCAGTTTCCGAAGGCAGGGAAAATATATAATATCTGTTTGATTGTCGGCCCTGCGTTAATAGTAATAACAGATATAGGTGTGTACCCAGATTTTGATATCTGGGCATCCTTGTTTAGAACTTGAACCTCCTAAAGTTTAAAAACAGCCTTTAGCTTCACCTGTAAGAGTTTGATAGTAAAACAAAACTGAAAACCAACACTTTTAGGATGCTTTGGAGGTATTATCAGTGATTTAGTACTTCACCGCCCTCTGCATGATCCTGTTTAAGGTGGAATAATAGTACAAGTGCACTTCCTGTGGCTTTCTGCTCTGCATTGCTAAATGAGGAACTTTATTTCCTGGTCTTAATGTGTAAATAACTTGTGACCATAAAGTATTTAGCTTTTTCACAATCTGACCAGAGGCTCCTCTTGTTTTTCCTTTGTAACACGACACGTTGATTAGACCTTAAATCACGTCAGCACCTAAACAACTAGGACTTTTGTGATTGCCTAGTTTAATGGTGATCATAAATACCATTTCAGCGGGAAAAGATGTGTAATAGAAAAACTTTTGTTAAATGAAGGTTATAGATTTATAGGTAATAGATAAAGGACCTGAAACATTATATTGTTAAAGTCGATTTAATCATATTTCCCTTTTTGTTTTGTTTTTTCAGATGCTGTACATTCGCCTCCTCCTCTTCTCTCACGCGTAGAAAGGATCCTTTTCCGTTGAGGTCCTAGGAAGCCGACGGCAACAGAAGCAGAACGGGGAAGTGAGTGAAGGAACCCAGAGGAGAGACGTCCTTCCACCTCACCCCGTCTCTCGTGTTCTTTCCTGTGCTACAGGGTCAGGGATGGTGACACCAGTAACCTCTCCTCCTCGCCGTGGTAAAAAGTACCCCATCGCCTCGTTCCGTAGCTCCAGCGAGCCAATCAGCCAGCACGCTCAGACACTCCACCAATCAGTGATTCTGTCAAGCAGCTTGCCACCACCCAGCAACCGATTACCTCACGCCATGACTGCTTTGTCTGACCTGTGTTTAAGAACTCGTTAATTCATGGTAAGTGTTAATAACAGCTGTTCTGGAAAGTGCCAGAAAAAAAGTTTACGGTTATTTCAAAGTGAAGAACATGGATGTTAAATAGTTTTTCTTGGTTTCCTTTAAACTTCCCTGTTTATTTACGGTTATTTGCCTTTTTAACAAACACATTAAAGTAAAAAAAGAAATTCTTTAATATTATATATATTCAAATTAATAAGTTCCTTATTTTAAATGCAGATTTAATTAGACTCAATGAGAATTTTTTTAATTTGTTAATATTGCCGCTTGACTATAAACGCCTTTTTTATTGGTGCACAGTGGTTTTTAGATAAAGCATGAAGCTGATTCTAAGGTTTCATCAATATCACAATGTAACAAGAGAACCAAATTACAACCTCTGTTTATCTTTGACAAGTTTGGATAAATTGTTAGTTGGGTATTTTCAGGTATCAACGTTCCGTGAACATCGCCCTTCTCAAAAGCTCACCTATTTAACTATAGGTCGGATTCGACCTATAGTTAAATAGCATTGCTAGTGGTCTACAGGAGGAGCTAAATCTGAAAGTTGTAGGCCTAGCACCCCTAGTGGCTAAAAGTTACACAGTGTATAATTTAAATATTTAACTACTGACACATTCAATTAACATAAAAATACAGGGTTTACGCGGGTCATTAAAAATAATTAAAGGTCACTAAATTATTATTTTGTTTTAATTGTGGCCATAATTTGCATTAAAATTCATTAAATGTGATTATCGTGGCATTTTAAATGCTTTCATAAAAAAAAAAAAAATAAGTTTATAAAAACAATTTTAATTGGATATAACTGGTTCCATATGTCTGGAAAAGAAGCATAACATGGCAGCAGCCTGTCGACCGTGAAGATGACGAAGGATTTTGCGGTGTCATTTATATATATATATATATATATATATATATATATATATATATATATATATATATATATATATATATATATATATATATATATATATATATATATATATGTGTGTGTGTATGTGTTCTCTGATTTACATGTTTGACAGTCACTGTTCTTTTTTGATATTGTTTTTTTTTTATATCTGGAATTTCTTATTTCTCATTACCACATCTATTATCAATGTTCTCATGGAGTGCCTGTATTTTGATCTTTCCCGCTGTCCGGTTCGCACAGCTTTTTTAGATCTGTGGATAGTGCCGTATTATGGGAATTACAACAACAACATAAAAATCTTAAAAAAAAAAAAAAGTTAGGTGCTCTTTACTCCAATACTGTGAAAAGAAAATTAGTTAATGCATTCAAAAGTCAGTTCCTTAGTAGATAAAGTCAATTTTTGTGGATCTTATTCTCAAGTCCAGTTGTTTTCTGATGGCCTGAGAGGTTTAGAAAACAGTGATAAACAAACGGTATGCCAAAGACCAAGGGCCACAGTAAGCAGACCTGGGGTAAAGGCCAAGTCTCACTGGTTGCATATCACTTTTTAATCTCTGATCCGACTTTTTCCACATAACACTGACTGCGTATAGAGAGCCTCCGAATACACCAGGTGAGCCGATCCCGATATGTGCAGATTTTTTTACTTTTGTCTCTGTCAATGAATTGAAACACTGTCCCATGTTTGAATGGGAACGGTTCTGAAAACTTATTTTACAAAAAATAAAGAAAATAAAACATAGCAGCAAAAAAGCAAAGCCCCACTTAATGACCAGGTGGCTGCACAGCATCTGAAATCAGAACAGATAGAGGATTTTAAAAGGCTTAAGGTCAGAACACACTAAATCCGATTTTGCGTCCAATATGACAGGAAATCGTGTCGGACGAGGTTGTTGCATTTAGCATTTAATTAATGGGGATGATCACACCTTACATAATTTTACTCAAGAGAGCTGCATTGCTCTGACTAAGAATAGAATTCAGATAACAATTCCACTTTATTGTCATCACACACTCACAAGTACAAAGCAACGAAATAATGAATCTTAACCCATCACCTTGGGGAGCAGTGAGCTGCCGTTGTGCATCGCCCGGGGAGCACTGTGGGGTTAAGAGTTTTGCTCGGGGACCCAGAGTGACTGTCCATAGGAGTGGGGCCGGAATTCAGTACCTCTGGAACCCAAGTGCAATGCCCTAACCACTAAGCCACCACTCCCCTAAAAGTCAAGATAGACCCCAGGTCTTTTTTCGCAGCAATTCACTGGCAGTTTCATTTGTCTGACGGGAAGAGAGACACGGTTACAATATAAAACACATCCTCTTTAAGAGAAAATACATATATAAATAAAATAAATAAAGAAACAAATAAAATCTGTTAGTCACACGGGCAAAGAATCAGTTTTGGAATCCCACAATGAAACATTAAAAAATACAATATTTTACCCATGACAGGAGTTCAGGAGGACAGAAAACGACAAATTAGTGATCCCCTTAGTGCCTCACAAAAACAACGAGGGACAGAAAGTGCTATGTGTCGATCTCCTCAAGGGAAAAAAATAACTTCAGGAGGAAAAAGCGGATATAGTAAAATAGTGATTGTCTTTGAGCCTCATAAAATAACTAGGGGCAGACAAAGCAGGTTAATGTTGTGTATCTTTGTCCCCCTCTATAAAAAAAAAGATGGAAAAACTTCAATAAACATCACAGATTACTCTCTGAGAATCACCTCTCACTGCCTCAGTCAGCATATAAACCACCTCATAGCGTTTATTGCTGTAGTTTTATTATCTTTAGATGTAGATCTCTCATATTTTTTAAAATTCCTATGAACATTCTCTATCTGTTCTGGTTTGAGATGTTGCATAGACTTATTAAGTGATGCTTTGCTTTAAAGAATGCACTGGTGTTTTGTTTTATGACTTTTCATAATCTGTCATAAAGTCAATTGTGGGAATTTTTTTTTAATTTGTGTATAGCACAGAGACAGAAGTGAAAAAAATCGCTGCAGATTTGCCCACCCTGCCTAAGTGTAGCCTCTCTATACACAGTTGGTGAAACTTTGAAAAAAAATTGGATCGGAGAGTAAAAAGTCGTTAACAATCGTTGTGTTCAGGCCTTTATGAAAGAAATATAATGAGAACTATGTTTAAAGGAAAGAAGATCTATCTCAGTCAGAGCTATGCAAGCCCTCTTGCAGAAAATCATGTTGGATGTGTTCATCTCCACTGACTCTCAATGCTACAACGTCATCTGGCCCGATTTTCTCTAGGATCGGACGCAAAATGGTGTGTTCAGGGCTTAAAGCTGTGCAAAATGTGAAAAGTCATAGGAAGGAAGCCAGAAGAAGTCCTGTTTAGGATTTGCCACATGTGGAGTATCAAGAATAGGTGGAAGAAGCTGCTAGAGCCTTAAACGTAACCCATGGTATACTTGCAAAACTGCAGGCAGTAAAATACCTGCTCGTCTCCCTGACCTTTCCCTGTTGCATGGTGGTGGCAGCATCCTGCCATGGAGAAACCTTTCTTTAGCGCGTCCAGAGAAGCGGCTCAGAGTTGATGGGTAGCTACAATGGTACGTAAGAGCAGACCTGTAGTGAAAAGGGCCTAGTCAAAGTCCAGACTCATTTATTGATCTGTAGAAAGACTTAATAAATTTATGTTCACAGCCACATGGACTTCAGTCTAATAGAGGAATGGGAAAAACATAGAGACAAACTCACCTTTCTTGCAGTAATATTTGTTGGGGAATACTTTTTTCATGAGGCACTTTACTTGTATTTCCATTAGTATTTCCCTGTCATTATTTTAAAGTAACCTCTCTGGGTCCCTTTTTAGACACTCATCTTTATTGAGTGACTAAAAATATTTTTATTTCCAAACAACATTTGCGTCTCCTGTCAAAGCAGCCTTTGCTTCTGGTTTTTAACAAAGCCAAACCCTCACCGTTATTTGCATCCGGCAGCCTGTTTTCCACTGTGCTGCCTGGTTGCTGAATAACTGATGGTCGCTACACTGGTCTGACGACTGCATTTGCATATCAGGCAGGTTGTGCTTGGCTTACCTCCCCTTGTCACACCATTGTGAACCATCACATGTGCTTATGCTCAGAAAAGGGAATGATAAAGAGGCGAGAAGCCTTTCCTATGGTTTGTAATTTGGATCTTTAGGGATTATATTGGAATTATGACTTTGCAAGTAAGAGTTTTCTTCATCTTGACTATAGTTGTTTACAGTATTAATATGTTTAATTTGTTTGTGTATTTAAAAAAAAACCTGCGTAGAGAATCTTGTAGTTTTTTAGTAGGTTTTTTTTTTTTTTACCTGAGATGTCATTATTTAATTGTCAGTAAAATTATCCTGTTTTAGAAGTAGCTCCTTCCGTTCAGTTGCTTTTAGCTGCTCGTTTAGTCATTAGTGGCGTATCATTTTAAGAGGAAATAAGGATAAAAGTCTCACTCCAGTAGGTCTAAAAACTCCTCTGCTGCCTTAGTGATTTTGTAGGTCCACTTTCCAATGAAAGATCTTTGTGAGTTATGTACGCTAAAAAGTTTATTTTGCGCATTGAAAGTTTGGGTAGAGAGGAAATGTCAGTGTTGGTGCAACACAATGTTTTCCTGCAAAGCTGGTTCATGTCCTTAGACATCACTTTTAATCTGAAGTAGGTCTGAAACAATCAATTGGATTGATTGTGATTAATCGATTACTTAAATAATCATCATTGTAAAAAAAAAAATGTATAAATGTTTTACATTTATGTTGTAAAAAAAAATCTTTTTATTTTGTCAATATGCTCTATCCAGAACTCCTCAAGTATAAAAGTTTGAGTTTCACCTTGTTTAATTATGTACAAAATAATCATTAGTTGCAGTCCTAATCTGAAGGCCTATCCCTTACCTTTGCTAAGGCTTAAAGTTAAAAAAAATTACAAAAGGTTTCCGTTACATTTGGAGTAAGACCATTAGAAATGTTTTTGGCAGACTTAAGGCAATGAGAAAATTTCCTCTATTATGAATTTAATCAATAATCTGAGCAGTACTGGTCAATAGATGCTAAACTAATTATTGTAAAAAAACAAAACTAACATATTTAAATGCACCATTTTTGGATTTTGGTCAGTACTATGACTATCACACTTTCTACATCTATTAATCTTCTCCTTTACCATTTCACTAAAACAATTCCTGTTTTTATAATCTCTCTAGATCTACGTACTTAGATCGTCTCTGCTTTCTTTTCTTTAAGTAATTTTAGAGGCGTTCTCTATGTTTTTATTCTAAGCACTTAGATAACCATGAAGGATGGTTGATTTTTTTTTTCTCTGGTAAGCCGATTCCATCTTGATTTAGATATAGAATATGAAACAAGATTCAGCTTTTTTTCTTAGGCCACCAGATTATTTGTTTAACTGATCGGTTACCTCCAAGAGCTCATAAAGCCATCTTTGGAAGAGAAACAGGCCGATAGCCTCACAGATCCTCCATCATGATTAACAGAGGGCATGTTTTATAAATGTTCACTTAAAACGATTGATCATAAAAATGTATTAATTGCTTTTTAAAACACCTGCAAATTAAATGGCCTCTGCTAAGCTGATCTACTACCTGGTTTAGTAGATCGATTTAGCATGTGCAAACAACTTGTCATGTTTGTCCACATAAATATGCGCATCCTATGCTGATGACCAAAACTAGCAAAATCAAGGAGGAAATCATGCAAATATAGATCCTAACCACCCTGATGCAACGTAGCTATCCTGAAATGGCGTGCAGGGGAAGTTTTTATATTTATTTTTAGCCACATTTAAAATTCAGTTTCCTTTACGGACCAATTAATGAAGCACAGTTATGTATTTATTGAATTATTATGGTTCTACTTTTGTTTTTTCAATTATGTTGGTAAATTCAGCTGTTTAGAACTTAATCTTGCTTTTTGCCCCTTTTGAACTGTCTGTCAGTGGGAGGATCCGAAGTTCAGTTAAAAAAAGTCTGCTTTTATTGATAATTAATATTTTAACTTTACCTTGTATTTAATCGTGCCTTAATAAGATAAGAGTCTTTCAAAGTCAGCTGACCTAGGTGCTGTTACTTTGTCCAGTATGTTTTCCACTGTGTTGTGTTTCCATTTTATGGCTATTTGGCGAAATCAAGCCAAAAGATAGATATTGTTGAGGGATTATTGTTTATTACGCTGATTCTGTGGTCTTATGTTGCACTGAGGCGGGTTCTAGGACTGCAGTTTAAGGGTCTTTTGACCAAAAATAACAGGAAGTGATCATATTTCAGTGTCTGATATTAAAAAGCACAGCTTGACAGCTGACAAAAACCTGCATCTACCGACCAGTTAAAAGGAATGTAGCTGCTGTCAAAGATGGCCCTACACCAACTCCTCACATCACCCACTTAACCCAAAATATATATAATACCGTAACAGAATAAACTTTGACGCTCTATATATTGAGTTACATTTTGGCAAACTTATTAATTTATGTAAAAAATTATATTTATGTTTGAACATATTCCCCCTAAGAAACCTTAAATGTTTTATTGTACAATTTGATATTGAGCTTATCTAATTGTTATGTTTTGGGGGAATTTGGGGATGAAGATGCGGCTAAGCGGCTAATTTTTATTTTTGTTTAAATGCACATGTGAACCAGCAGGCTGAGGTATTGTGATATTGTCCATGGAGGTAATATATTATTTCTTTATTTGAACCCGCCAGGTAAACCAGCATCCCAAGTGTTTTTTTGTTTTTTCAGACATCCCTGCGTCCAAATTCCTCATTCTAAGATTTGTTTCGACAACGCTAGCGGCACAGATGGATGTGGCTCACTAATAAAGTTGCCTATTGTCTTAGGACATAAGTTATTCAGTAGAAATCTATGATGTGTACAGATAAAATGACACATTGTGTCACATAATATAGTGGAACATGCAATAGTCTGCTAAGATTGCAAAAATCGTTCAGTTTTAGGAAGGGCATTAGACTAGCAGGCAGTTGCAGTAAAATGTCTAAAGGAGCACATTTGTGGGGGACGTTTAATTAACCAGTCTGTAGTAATATGACTGCTTAAAGTTATATATTGAAAGTTGTCAAAAATCCTTAGAATGAAGGCCATGTATGAAGATTATAAATCTGATGGTCGAAAACATCTGAGAAGTTGGCAACAAGTTAAACACTCAAATCCACTTAGCATTAGCCAAAAGGCAGCTAGTGAACCCTTGACATAAAGCACTATACAACTTAAAGAAAGCAAAAAACAGCATCATAAAATTGTGAATAAAATCATTCACAGGCCAGTCTGCTCCGTGGTCACCCTCCAACTTCACATTATATGACATTAAATGGTTCAAATATTTCTGATCCACTGAGAATCTCAAACCCTGATCAGGTTGTTTGCTCATCTCACTGTTTTTAAAGTTCATTTGATTTAAAAAGGGGAGCAGACTAACCACAGAAACATTTTACAGCGGTCCCTAAAACCATTATGGAAATTGGCTGACCTCATGCAGCCATTCTCTGCTGCAGTTTTCTAAGATTTTTATATTTTTTTTGTGCTATCTCAATATGTACCGTAGTTTAATTTTTTTTATTATTATTTGTTAGGGTAAAGATAACAATGGTTGTAAAAGAGTAGTGATTTTCTGGCAAATTTTCAGAGTTGTTAAGAGAAATCGGCCATTGTGTCTCTTTATTTTTTACAACACAAGGAAACAGAACGTCAATGATTATTTAAATTCCTCGCAGCCTAGTCAAAAAGTGTAATTTGTTTAAAAAGAAATTGCTAGAGGGTGCCGTATGTTTGATAACAATGGCTTTATTTTGATGTGGATGGGATTCATTGCCCTTCAAATCATGTGCTTACAATAAAGTATTTTTTTTTGTTACGTTTCAGTGTGAGATACTGTTATTCATTTAAAGAGTTTTAAATCCATGGATGCCAATAAGTGCCAAGGGTGCTGTGACTCTTTGATCGAGTCTTTCTGTGCAACCCGAGTGATTTCAAGATGATAGGGAGGAGTAGGTTGGATATTAGTATGTCTAACGAGGCAAATTGACAGAATTACGTTATTTATAGTTCAAGGAATTGAGGAGGGCTGGAACGTTTGGCGGGAGGGGTCCTTCTGAACTAAAATAAAGTCCGAATTTAGAAGAGTTGATCTGTTTTTGGAGAGAAGTATTCCAGCCATCATTAGATTATCAGAAAACCCTGCTGCTTAATTACCATGCTGTTCCTGTAGGGTTTTATATGAGAAGGAGAGCTCATATCAGGAAACAAAAACATTAGCAGTGAAAATCGGCTGTGGCACAAAGATTAGTGTCAATTAAAACGATCAATCAGTGCCAGGAAAAAAAGGCCTCACATTATAAAAGCTTTCTGCACAAATCTTTATCTCCAGCCAGTCGCTGACAGATGTTGCGTCTTCTGATGCTGAACAGATGATGAAGGTTGAAAATGAAGGGGTTAATACAGCTGTGCATGAATTAGTATATTTATTATGCACATGTGCCCATCCATGTTTGTGATATGCAGATCCAGTTTCTCTGTCTGCGGCCATTAAAATGCACATCCAGTGTGTGTCAGGGCTGAGTGAAACACTTGGGTCGAAGCCAGAAAGCCCTCGTACCAAACAAGGAAGGGAATCCTCCTCCCTCAGCTCTCTCTGTTGCTCTTCATCCTTTCCTTCAGGATACATTCCAACTCCAGCTTCACTCCTCTTTCTGGATTACATGTTTCCAGCGAGCGGAGAGTGGAACACGAGGGTTGATTTGTTTCTGCTCTCTCTGTTAGCGTGCGATTGTTTTGAATAATTTTTAACTATGCTCTGTATTTGTGCATGCGTTTGTCGTGAAGCCCCACAGTGTGAGTGGAGTGGAGATGAGAAAAAGGCAGGCGGCTCACATCGAGGCCCCACCCCAGGCCCCCGGACAGCCCCGACCGAACACCTGCTGCCTTTGCTGGTGTGGCTGCTGCAAGTGTCTTTGGTAAGCAAGCAGTACAGTTGAATATTGCTGCCTGGTTCACCACACTGTTTACTAAGAAATAGATCAAACAAGATATTCTTAAAATGAACTACAGGGGCAAATAAAAACCACACACCATAATGTATTTCAGAGTGGGCTTCAGCTATCAGTTATTTTACTCATTAATTAATCTAGCTCTTTCCTTATTTAGGTATTAACATATGAGGAACAAAAAAATGACAAAACCAAATAGGAAATTCACATATATTAATGTATAAATAAATGAAGAACCAAATAAAGAAAAATAATTAGTTGTTTTTTGTGACAAAAACACATTTTTTTAGTTTATTCATTTATTTATTTGTATGTCTAGTTATTTATTTTCCATTTTGAATTATAAAAATGTATTGTATGTTTTAAATGCATTATAAATTAAACAAAACTCAATTAAAAGCTCAGAATATACCCTCAATAGTAAAGTTTTTTTCATAGTAAATATACTATATCATAATGCCTGACTCCTTAAAAAACGGATTTTAAATGTTAATTTTTTCCTGGTTAAATAAAAATATGCTTTTTTTTTTAGCGGAATTGTTTATCTATGGTGTATTTCCAAACAATTCAGCACCTTCAACTGCCTTTTGGAGTCTACCTGTGTCCTTCCCAAAGCCAGCAGGTGATTCTCATTAGACAAAGGAAATATCAACGGCACAAATTTAAATAAAAACTTCACCTAACTGTTCATACAATACAGAACTACTGTGCTGTAACAGTCCAGTTTATCATTGACATGAACACCCAGGTATTTCTACTTATTACAAAATCGATATGGAAGCTTTTAAATTTAATCATTATTGAGTCGAAGAAGTGAAATAGAAGGAAATTATGAGGTTTTTAACAATATCCAGCCCTACTCAGCACTTCTCTACTTCTGTAACATTGCTGAATGTATGCCATAGACAAAATGTAATGATTTCCTGCTTTTTATATATAATTGGGGGATGGACAGACAGCATAGCAAAGGACCAAAACCTCCCATCACCAATGGCCAGGAAAGAGCTTGCATAAATAATTGCATTTCTAAACTGACTGGCTTTTTTTAAAGATCACCAAACAACTTCTTATATCAGCTTTTTAAAACAGAACAGTAGCCTCACTGTAGGGTCTCTGTCAGATGAGCAGCATGAAGCTTTTTTGGTAACATTATCAATAACTTGATTTTCTTTCTGAGAACTATTAATAGAAGACTAAATATAGCTATCAAAGAAATGGGAGTATAAGTCGCTCTCAGTGTTCAGCTCCGTCTGGCGACACATGCTGTATTTTGTATTTCCTGTTTTGTCTTTGAAAAGTAGTTTCTTTAGTTTGAAATGACTGTTAAGGCATCTTTTACTTTTTTTGTTTTTACATAAAAAGCCTTTTTACCACTAGCATTTCCGTTTTCTGCGGTCAGATTTTGAGACAAAAATGAAAAGTGCACCTAGAGATCAGTTAATAGTTGGATACGGTTCCATTCTTCCTGTCACTAGTTGTTTTTATTTTCACAAGGTGCTGACGGGCTTTCTATGCCTACTTTGCATTCAAATGAAAAATTTAAAAACGTGGCGTGCTATTTAAGGAAAACTGTAACATTCCCTGGAAAACACGACAACAGAGCCTCACGCTGCATTTCTACACTGTAAAAACATCTAACCGCGAAGGAGATCCCTTTGATGTTTGGGCGCAGGCTGTCACTTAACCCAGAGTGTCCCTCTCAACTATGTGTTGCTGTATTAATGTGGGAATGAGACTTTAATGTAATTGTGGTCATTTTGACTAGAAAAGTGTGTTAGTCGCTTCACTGTTTGACAACAAATAAATAGAGAAATTTACTGAATTGAAAGGTGATTCTGGCAAACTGTCCGGCGCCTCCAGAAGGGGAGGCAGTGTTTTGCTAACCCTGTTTTGACAGCGGACGTTGTTGGATGGTGGATGGAATACTTTGAGGATCGATCTAACAGCTTTCTGTGGGGAAGAAGAGACGGGGTGCTCAGGGCTGGATTGGTTCATCACTCAGGCTGAAGTTGCCTAGGAGGTCAAAAAACTCCACAGTGGCAAGGCTTCTAGGGTGGACGAGATCCAGTCTGAGTACCTTTCAGCTCTGCATGTCGTGGCTGACATGGCTGTTCATGTCTGGGACGGTGGTCCTAGATTGGAAGACTGGGGTTGTGGTTCCCCTGCATAAGGAAAGGGACCGGAGGATGTGTTCCAACCATAGGGGAGTACCACTCTGCAGCCTCCCCAGTAAGGCTGTGGAACAGTAGACCAGCTCTACACCCTCCGCTGGGGGCTGAGTCGTGGCCCTTTCCTAGGGGCCATCTGCCTTGGCAGAGTCCAAATCTGCACGTTGGACTCCGCAGGACTGCCCTCTGTCACTGGTCCTGTTCATAACCTTTATGGATAGGATTTTTAAATGCAGCCAAGGATCAGAGGGGTCTGCCGCGAGGACCAGCAGATATCATCCCTGCTTTTTGCGGATGACATGGTGCTGCTGGCTTCTTCCTGCCAAGACCCACAGCATGCACTGAGGCAGTCTCCAGCAGATAATGAAGCGGCCGGGATGAGAATCAGCTCCTCTAAGTCCGAGGGCATGGTTTTCATCCGGAAAAAGGTGCCTTGTCCCCATCAGGTTGGTGGAGAGTTCCTGCCTCAAGTGGAGGAGTTCAACTGTCTTTGGGTCCTGTTAGTAAGGGGAGAATGGAGCGGGAGAATGATAGACGGCTTGGTGTGGCGGCTGCTATAATGCAATTTATGACCACCAGCCCCATGGCTAGAGGAGGAAACATGGAGCTTAATGCAGGCAGTCCTAGTAGGCAGCCTGTTTAGCTTCCGGCAGGTCAGCGACCATAAATATCCGGCAAGGGTTAGCCATTGAAGACCTTAGAATCAAATGGTAAATGGCATGTACTTATATAGCACCTTTATTCAAGTCTGGAGACTTGACCAAAGCGCTTTACACTACATTCATTCACCCATTCACACACACACTCACACACTGAGCAAGCTACATTGTAGCCACAGCTGCCCTGGGGCTCACTGACAGAAGCGGGGCCCTCTGACCACCATCAGTAGACAATGCAGGTGAAGTGTCTTGCCCAAGGACACAACGACACTGAAAGTCGGAGTCGGGGCTTGAACCGTCAACCCTTCGATTTCAGGGCAAACTCCTACATCCAACACCACTGTCGCCCCATCACTTTTCAGAAGTTGATTAAAACTGAGCTTTGAGCAAGAAGGGATAAAAAAGTGAAATATTTGTAGCAATCAGTACTCGAGTTGAGGGGGTATGAGGGCGGATGGCATCCCCCTTCTTAAAAAAAAATGAAAAATCATCCCCCTTCTTAAATGACCATCCCCCCATACCATTCCCTGTGACGTTTTATTACTGAATGTGTAAATTTTCTACTGCATATTAACATTAATCGCAATAACGTTCCCTTTCAACGTCTGGCAGTCTGTGGGCGTACGTTAGACCTAGCAAACTAAATAAAATCAAAGAAGTACCATAACTATGAAGCTGATCCCAGTGGAAAATTTGTCCTCTGCATTTGTCCCTAACTATTAGGACCAATGATAGCCATGCCAGTCCAGGGACTGACTGTAGTTCTACTGTAAGGTGCCTTCGTCAAGGTCATTGACCAGCGTACCTGACATGACCTGACCTTTTTTACAACTAAACTACTGGTAGCAATGGAAAGATTCTCGAGAATGTAGAGATAACTGATCTACAGGCATAAAGTCATGTAATCACTTTATTAATTTAACAAGAACAAAATAAATATTAATTATTGGTTCAGGACAAATCCAGAATATTTCCTGTTCTTTGTTTGAATCCAAATTTAACTCCAGTCGTGTGAAGGAAACCGTGTTTCCTCTCAGATCTTAAGCCCTGCAAACTGGGACTTAATAAAGGGCTTTTAAGTTTATTAGAGTGGCATGAAATGGAAATGCACTTCGCCTAGGCTTTGGTTTAATCTTTGTAAAATGAATGAAGATCTAAACTTTATGTTTAGATTTGTAATTAGTATTAAAATGGTGTTTGGGGTGGCTTTCTAAAAGGAAACTGAACAAATTGTTCTGCAGGTCAGAGAGTTGCAGTCTCTTGCTTTACCTCTGAGCAAGGCACCAAAACTAAGAGCTGAAGTGAAGCTTCTCCAGCTGCCTGGCTGCGGCTCGGGTCTTGCCAGGAGAGAGGAGTGAATGAAACATTGTTTCCAGGCAGTGAATGGTGAATGCACTGCTTCTTTCACAGCACTTCATCTGAAGTGGTCGCAGCTTGGGGACTGTGAGTGCGCTCGTGTTTGTGCTTGAGCCCAGCGATGGTGTCAGTTCCCCCGAACTAAGCCCTGAAAAAAACAAATTCCTCAGTAACACATATGTTTGTTTACTGTTTTGGTTTGAGGCTGGAGGGGATCATTTGCTTAGCTTACTGAGCGTGGGTAAAAGTTTAGTCAGTCTTACATGTAAATGGCAGAATGCTCCCAGTGTCTCCTCAGTGGAGTGCTTGAAACGTGCCTCTGAGTCAGACATCCCATCTTTTACTTAGGTTCATGTTTGACTTTGGAAGCCAAATGTTAAGGAAGATATAAAAAGGGTCAAACAGAGAGAGAATCCTCACCCAGTCTTACACAAGGCCCTTATCTGGTCAGGGTGTCTTCTATTTCCATCCCAACATCACATGCAAAACAGCTGTGAAGAACAGCTTGTATATTTAGGCGTATTGTGAGGGCGCCGGGGGCGGGGGGACTGTGGCTGGCTTAGCCCATTACTGCTGCACAATAGGGACTTTGACAAGAGACAGCAAGAGGAAGGAAAGATCCTCCATGGAGGGGCAAAAATAGACTGCTCAGTTTGTTACAACGTAGTCTCTGCAAGTAGATCTGAGACAGAGAGGCTGCTGTGATGAGTCTGAAACTTTATTCTTAGTGTCCACTAGTGATTAACTTAAGCAAGAAGAGGAATAAACCAACAGCTCGGCTTTAAATATGTTGGGCCTTTAAGGAGTTTTTTTTTTTTTTTTTTCATTTTTGAAGTAAAATCAACATTTTGTCAGACTTTCTGAAGGATATTCAAAGTTTATGTTGGCTAACTGCTGCTGTTATTTTTCTGTAGTCTTGCAGCTAAAGCTGAAACAGAACTAGAGGTCAAACTGTACTTTAAGCTAAAACAGCTTGTTTGACTTCTAGTATTTTGTTATTTGGAGTTAGTTTACAAAATGCAAGAGGATCATGTTTAGCAAGAGGGTGAAATCCCAACAAACATTTGAACAATTTTTAAAGCTGTATAGGTCGTATCTCCTACTGCATCTTTGTCTCTCGCTTTCAGTTTTCAGCAGTATCAGGATTGTGAAGCAATTTTCTATCTGCCCAGAATAAGTTCTGGGTCTATCTTTAAAACCTTTATCTCTGTTATCTCCACCACGCAGTCGCAAAAAGCAAATGGACTTAAATGTAAAGCCGGCATGAAAGGAAATACCTACTGCTGTGGAGTAATGTTTACCATCATTTACTAATAACTAAAGGTTATATAAATGTCTATGTTATATATATAAAAAAAACATTAAAGTAAAATAAAAATGTATAAATTGGAGGAAACTTGTGCTAGAAAAGTTTTGCACCAACTGTTGTGATGTCATTGGCTCTGTGAGCAGGATACAAGCGCAGGCAGGTGGAAGTGCTGTAGCCGACTAAACTATAGTGCTTCTTTTAGCTCTCTTATATCAATGTTTTTAGATGCAGGTCAATATTATCTGATATTAAGTTTCTGGCTAATATTGGACCAATTTATAAGATCAATTTTGGATTATGACAGCCCTACTTCATTTGTTTGAAAACACTCTCTCCGCGGCCATGACGCCCATTGACAGCGTAATTTCAACATCATTATGAACTTTAATTTACGCTGAAACTAGAGCTGAAATAATTTATTGGATTAATCTTGAGTAATCGATTATTAACCCATTATAGGGCAAGTTATAGTTTTTGATCACTTGCATACCCCTTACAAATGGAGTCCCCCCCCCGTACCTCAGTGAGGTCTAGAAGTACAAGATCTATATCCAGTCATTCAGCAAAGATGCTGAATGACTAAAAAAAAGATAAGTTAACAAAAAAAAGGTAAAAAGCTAATTGAAAATTTTAAAAGTAAAGTTTAAAAGTTAACAATTATATTTAGGTTTATAAACTAATAAATGTAAGTATCAGCATTAATGCCTCTAAGGTTATGTTGTAAGTGTATTAGGGGTGTGGGAAATAATGGTTTTGGCGATATATCCTGATATTCAGCTGCCCAATATAATACCGATCTTTCACTTCTTAGTATCGATTTAAAAAAAAAAAATGGTTACATAAAACATTGATGGGAAAATGGGCTACCTCTGCACCACCACTCTGGCAGAAAGCGCTGTGGAGCCCTATAATTTTGCGTGCAGCAACAAATCTCTATTTGAGGCAGTCACAGTGGAAGAAAACCCCAAACAACATGGATAATAATACCTAATCAATATTTTCTGATGAAAATATACAGCACTTGCTGTTTTATCTCATCATTTGATTTTGATAGCTGGGGAAAATATGGCAATATATAGTAGGGGTGGAACGGTTCACAAAATCCACGGTTCGGTTCGATTCACGGTTTCTGGTCACGGTTTTCGGTTCGATTCGATACATGTTGATTGTTACACCAAAATCCCATAAAAATTCATGAAATTAATGAAAAAATCCCCCAAAAAATAATGGATTGTAATTATTTTAAATGATCCGCAGAAACCCTGGATCATTTCTGTATGTTTTGCTGCTTTGAATTTAATCATCTGGCGCATGCTCTCTACCATCTCCAAGAGACTCAGAGGGGAGCGGACGGACGAAGCCACAGTGGGGGCTGTAGGCTTTGCTTTGAGCAGCCGGTCTGGAGCGCAGCGGGGGTTGCTGACGGAGTATGAGAGATTTCAGGGTTAGCATGACATGTTGCTGTTAGCATAAACAAAACGTGTTGCACAATGCTTGCACACTGTTGCACTTTTATCCACAACTTTCTTTCCGCTGTCATCGTAGGTCACTCTAAATGCAAAGCGCTCCCATACAGCAGACCTATAAAGTGCTGCTGGCGCGTCTTCCAACTCCTGTTCTTTCCCACTCGCCAGTCCGACACAATTCTCCACAACAACTGATTTTTTCCCCTGCTACACCCGACTAAGCTGCTTCGCTTCTTCTTCTTCTTGTTTACTACTGGCGGTTGGCTTTGGTCGCAGCACTGCCACCTTCTGCTCTGGAGTGTAATCGCTTCCTCTATGAGAAAAAGGAGCAGCGCATAAACCGAACGAAACACACGCGAACTGAACCGAGACAGTCGAACCGAACGATTCTGACGGTTTTCATAAATCGTCCCATCCCTAATATATAGTGATACTGCAATATCGTGATAATATCGTATCGTGACCCAAGTATCGCGACATGTATCGAATCGCAACACTCATGCCAATACTCACCTCTAACGTGTATATGTGTTGGTTCTTTCACTATCATTGTTTTTCATTCATTTCTTATAGAACAACTTTTGTAATTTTTCTTAATGTATTCGGGGAAGGTGGCGTTTCTTGTTATTTGCCATCAAAATACGTTACAAAGATAATAAGGTCTTGTCCTGGATTCCAGTAACACTATTGGCTTAAAATTTTGATTTTAAAAGTATTCCACTGATTGCCCTATAAAGGGTTAAAATAATTGTATCTAATTTAGTGATCGATTAATCTTTAACACTATAGACTCTAAAACATGAATTTTGCTGACAGAGAGATCTACTTAGATCACTAATTATATCAAAACCACCAAAAATATATATTTTGCATTTAAATATTGCTTTTTTTGTCTGTTTACTTGCTCTATCCACAAAAAAAAAAGTTTTACTTTCACCTGGTTTATTCACCGATCTTCTCTAAGGAATCCTTTGCAATCCGATTATATATCAATTAATCTTAAAAAAGAATCAGCAAATTAATCGATTAGCAAAATAATCATTAGTTTCAGCCCCAGCTGAAATACACTGGCAAGAACCCTGATATGTATACAGCTACAAATCAAATCAATTGATTTGAATCTTAAACTCCAAGAAATAAATGGTGGTATTTTGTCTAGTTGCACATGAGCTGTTTTATGTTTCATTTACAGGAATGAAGATAGAATTGAGAGGAGCGAACGGCAAACCTGCACCAAGATGGGCAGTATTGAAGCTGTTGAAGAACAGTAAGTGAAGTCCAACTCTGTCCCTTGCGTCCTCATCGTTGTGTGTCTCCGTCCCTCTGCTTGTCTGACTGTTTGTTACACCGCAGACACCCCAGTTTAGAAGAGCTGCTGTCCTGGGCACGGAGCTTTGAGATGATGCTGCGCTCGCTGGAGGGCCGGGAGATCTTCCGGGAGTTCCTGCGCTCCGAGTACAGCGAGGACAACCTGCTTTTCTGGTTGGCCTGCGAGGAGTTAAAAAAGGAGACGAACCCCTCAGTGGTGGATGAGAAGGCCCGGATTATATACGAAGATTACGTCTCTATATTGTCGCCAAAAGAGGTGAGTTCATTTATTGGACTGATTGCGTTTAGGAGATAAACTCAGCATACATTTTATTCATTGAATAAACGTGAATGTAACTTTCAGAATAAAAGCCATATTCTGTCCCATCCCAGGTGAGTCTGGACTCTCGGGTTAGAGAAGGAATAAACCAGAGCTTAGCGGAGCCTAGCAACACCATGTACGAGGAGGCCCAGCTCCAGATCTACACCCTGATGCACCGGGACTCCTTCCCCCGTTTCCTCAACTCCTCCGTTTACAGAGACCTCCTGGCCAGCAGGAGGCGCACCTGCCTTGACACCTAAACCTCCCCACCGTTCGTCATTGCCAACGTACTCCAACGAGACTACTACTTAAAACTGCAAATACTACTATGGTGCCAGAAGTCAGGTTTGGGGGGGAAAAAAAAGTCTCGCTCTTGTTTTGATGAAAAAAAAAAAAACTTAAATAACATCCAAGATAGCTGGTTGGGTCTTTTTATTTTCTTTTATTTATATTTTTTAAGCAGTTTTTATCCAGTTGTTCACTGGAGCTAGGTCGAGCTTTCGCTGGCTGCTTATTGGTCAGTTTTAGACCATTATTTGCGGCCAGTGATTGTTTTGCTAGCGATTTGAGCAGTTTTGTTTGATTTGAGTGGCCGACTCCACCTTAACAGCGACTGGTTGAATCAGTCGACCCTGCGGCCGAGTGTTGGTTGAGCGTGGACAAGGACTCCTCAAGTGACGAGGACCCCGAGACGGAGAGTGACATAAAGGACAAACCCACTGATCCTGTACTGTAATATTTGAACCTCATTTTACCTTCACTCTACTGCTCTGTCTTTACTCGTCAGTCTTTTCTGTTATTTCTTTGTTTTTCGTTTGAATTTCTTTTTGATTTATACCTCCTCACTGTCCAAACATGACACCCAGTGGTTGGTGGGAATGGGAGAATCTTTGCCTTTTTAACCAGTTGAAGCATCGGCTCTCTCTGCATGCAGCTCTCTCTCTTTCTCTACTGTAGCTTGACAGTATAAGCCGCGGACTGCAACCTTTTCTGAGAGATATTAAGGCTGGCTGCTCCTGACTATGTATGTTCAGTGAAGGGGTGGAAAAAAGGGTACATCTCTGTCAGTTTTAAGCTTACTGCAGTTTTTATTGAGATGTAAAAGCTGCTTTCTCCAACCCTTCCTCTGTCCGTCCACGTGTTTTGTCCGAGCACTTTCCTTCATCTAACTGGGAGAAGTAAGGGCTAGAATTGGGGTTGGGCAGCTACTTCTAATATTATAACTTATAAACTTCTCTCTGCTGAGACAAAAATAAAAAATCACAATGCCTTTATGTGTAAAGGAAGGCAGCAGAAGTGCTGCTTCAGATCTGCTGTGAAGCAACTACAGTCTGTCCAACAATCCCTACCTCCCATTCCTTTTTTTTATTTTCTCCCTTTCCTCTGACCCGCTTTAAGATCCCCACAGCCTGAGAAGCACAGGTGCCAAGTTTGGGCCAAAACCCATAATGGAAAAAAAATACAAAAAGACACTTACAGTACATTGTCTCAATGAGTTTTGTGGGTAGAAAACAGTAGCAATCTCCTTGCTACAAGTGAAAACAACCTGCTATTAAACCTTGAAAGGCTTCAGTTTTTGATATTCTTGTCTTTGACGTATCAGATTTTAGTGGATTGGAAAACTGGGTGCCAAATGGGACTTCAAACTTCCAGTGAGGAGGAATCGGATTTCTACTAGCCTGTTTTTTAGAGCTTGGGGGAAGACGACCGGTCTAATAATGCTGAAATAGGACTATCCCAGGCTGTTAATGAAATCTGCATAGTCTTGCTCCAATCAAGCCTTTTCAGCTGAAACCAAAAGGGTTTAAGCATGCTGTAGACAAGCAGATGATAGGATGCTTGTGCTAATCTTCCCTCCCACTGCCAGCCCTCAAACACTCTGGTCTGTTTTTTTCTAAACTATCTTGGAAAGCATGCAGTTATAACGTGTGTGAGTGCGTGTGAGATACAGTAAAACACCGAACAGGAAAATAAAAGTTAAATTGCCAAATGTCATGTAATGTTTAGCATATAAATGGACACTTTTTTTTTTTATATGTGAACGTTTTAACGGATAGATTGTGGTGAGCCTATGGATTTGCAGAAGGTGCATGAGTGCAGCATATAATATGCAGTTTTAATGCAATGAGCCTCTGTGTCCATTGATTTGATGAATATATGTCCCACATGATCTGGTCGTTGGGTAGAGCAGTGCTAGACGTGTCAAATAAACGCTGCTAATTACTTGCAGATACACAGAGGCATCCATGTTGCTGCCTTCTCTTGCTACCTGAAGTTCTTGTGCCAATCTGGATCTGCATTGAAGTGAAAAGACAATTAGTTCTGACTGAAGAGGATCAGGCATGGGCCATTAATATAACCATATGTGGAAACAGTATTAACACAAAAACAAAGAAAAAAATGCGTAAATCTGTCATTGCTTTAGTTTTAAACAGAATAATTTCCCCTGCCGTGAAAATAAGACGAGTAAGGCTGTATGGTTTTAGGAAAACATTCTTCATGCTTCAGTTTAGAGCCAGAATCTCTGTTAAATTCCATCTAATGGAACAAAGACAACCCTAGAAAGGAAGATGCAGTCCATAGCGTTAGAAGCACCATAGCCTACCAACTATAGCATGCATACATATTGTCCTTTTCGAACTCGTCACTCATCATCAAGAGGATAATTTTTCAATATGTTGTTCAGCTGTAGATATTATGTTCTGATTGTGGCTGTAAGAAAAGAAAATACCTGGAACTTTCAACCATCACATGGATTTTGAAAGTCCAGCCTTTTTTAAAGTGGTTTTCCGGAGTAATTTCACTTCCCCAGGGTTCCATGTTCAGGGATAAGAGGTTCAGGGCTGGGTAGGACTTTTTAAGGTTACCCTGGGGTTGTTAGGGGGCAGGGTCGATATGGATTGTTTTAGCAGAAGCTTAAGTATGGCAAAAACTGTGATTGAAGTTTGATATTTCACACCTTCTGTGGCCCAAAATCAACTTTTATAATGTTTTCTTTAAGGCGAGAATGTAGCTTTTTAAAACACAAGTGTCTGCTCTGTTATTCATGATATTATTGCTCAATTGCCAAAGGTCTCTGTTGTTGAGATGTCAGTTGTCAATTACAGCCGACCTGCTTCACTAGCTATCAGCTAACCAGTCAGTCAAGACTCGCTATAACTAGAGGGACACCTGATTCTCAGAACATAACTTCTAGTCTCCTGCATTAAATAAAGATATAATTTAGTCAGGTGATATCTAACAGCTCTTGTTTTGTTTTGGCTTCACTGTGTCTGTGCTTCATGCTGTCATGGTTGACAGGCCACAGAAGTTACAGTGAGGTAGGGACGGAAACTGAGCAGTAGAAAAATTCCCCGGGATTCCTTTTGGTTAGATAGATTTTGTTTTTTATGCCGTGTGTGCACGATAAAACTCCTGACAGCCAAACTCTAATCTTAGCACAGGGAGTTTTGTTTTTTATTCAGCCTACTGAGTGGCTGTGCTCAGCAGCCAGAGAAAGACTGGTTTGATTAATCTCTTTTATACAACCCGAGAAAACTCCAGTCACCATATCTTTTTTTTCTAGTCCATGCCAGTTTTGTTGGAAGAAAGAAAAAAAACATTATTTCCTTCAATTGCTTTTTTTCTTGGATTTAAAATTTCATTGATAAAGATAAATTATTTGGTAGTAGTAGAACTTTATTCCAAAATAGATTTTCGTCTTTAAATAAAAACTACACCCACATGTTAAAGTGAGATGTTTTCAGCCTTAAAAAGGTGAGCGGAGCTGAAAAAAAACAAAAAACAAAAACAAAAAAAAGTCAACTAAATGTAAGGCGACGATAAATATTTTTCCCGGGTGTAAAGAGATAATTTTCCGCTAAGTTGTAATAAGTTCTTCAAAAAAGCGTTTCAGATTTACTGATTTGCCAACACTGCCCAAAACAAGAGTAACACTAAAATTAATACAAAAGGAGAAAATTATTATAAAAGCTCAGTTAGAATTTGATGCCAATTAGCCATGCTTCTGGTCTCATGATTTGGGGTAAATCCAGCAATTTTTTAAGCCTTTTTTTCATACTTTGGTTTAGCTTTACAGCGTGACCGGCCCATGCCTCGTAAGGATAAATCTTAAGTCTCAATGTTTCTCTAGTCCACATAAATTACCCAGAATATTTTGCAGAACAACGTAGATCCAGATGAAATACATTTCCACCAGATAGGGACTGTCGCTTGGTTGTTTGAATGAAGAGCTGTGCAAATGCAGGCAAACGAAATACAGTTAATAAAAATTTTTTTTAAATCTAACAATAAAAGTTCATTTTCATCTGGAACAGCTTTTATTTCAAGGGCAAATTTTTCAAATCTTGCAATACCTTTTCCTTTCAGTCACTCATAAAGCTCTCTTGCTGGCCGACCCCTCCTCTGCACAGTACACTTTGTATGTTGTCTATATATTAACTAACACAAGAATGTCTCACCAGGAACCAGATGTTGAAATCATGGTGCAATCAAACAGAGTTTACATTCATAAATATTGGGACGTGTGTACTTTTTTTTTTTATGTTTAGCATAGTAGGGGAGTAAATAGCCAGCAGGTCTGAGTTTGAAACTGAGGGTGTTGCACATAAAGGACACGGGAAAGCAGAACCCTTTGCTTGCACTGCTTTCGTCCGTTCCTCTTGATGTATTCCAGCTTCCAGGCTATTCCAGCAGTGGGAGATGTGTACTTGGGTGTTTAGATTTGGTTTTTTTAACACCTGCATTGCAAAGGTGGAGTTTAATTAGCAATGACTATGATGTGAAGTAATGTAGGGTGATTGATCAGTTCAGATTGTTGTTTATAAATTCCCACGGATTCCATGTGAGATGATGTTTGAGACATGGCTCTGGTTTTAGAGCCTAAAAAAGAAAAAGGTCCCGCAGAGCTCTGGCCTTACTGACACATTCTTTTTTTTTTTTCCTTTAAGAAAAGAAGATCATTCAAGAACATTCCTGTAGGTGTTTCACTACCTCTCATGTCGGTTAATTTATTTCACATATAGTTAATGTACAAGTTTTTTTTTTTTTTTTTTTTTTTTTTTTTTAGATCTACTTGAAGCCTAACACTGTAAAAAAAAAAAAAAGAAATGTGCACAGAAAATGACTCGATGTAAATAACCAGAGAGGAAAGAGAGCTTGGCCTAGTCAACATTATTATTATTGATAATATTTCTGTTTATGTGTATGTTTGTTTGATTTCAATTGTGTTCAGCTAGATTTTGCATCTCTATAAAGAATTCAGGAATTCACTGTCTAAGGGCTAATCCCATTTTTGCCTATGCAAATTTGTTATTTCGGGTGAGTCGGAGAGGACGCACCTCTTACCTGTTTTAGACGGGCCATGGTTTACATTGCCCTTTGCTGATATTCTTCAATCCTCTACAGTATATATATATATATATATATATATATATATATATATATATATATATATATATATATATAGGTATATATATATATATATATATACTTTCAACAGATAAGAGCATATGCCTTTGGGATGATTCAAAAAAATGAACTTGACTGAAAATAACTAAATGTTTTGTTTAACATTAGGTGGTTTAGCGCTGAGATTTTGGTACCAAACTACTGGAATTCTGCTGACAGACTTTCAGGAAAGCTCTCATTGCTTAGGCTACAACATGAGTAGCTTAACTGTGCAGTATTGGCTTACTGAGGGGGCAGAAAACCAATTTATTTAAGGAGCAACCACACCAAGATCTTCTCCAGCACAACGATGATTCCCATTGGGGGAGGTAATGTTGGTATTTTGGAAACCTAGGACTTCTTGTCATTTCTGCTGTCATGTTTTTTTGTTTTGTTTTTTTCCTATCTGAAAGTAAGACCTTATTAGTTTTTGGTCCCAGGTCAGTTTGCCTTTTCCTTATTTTGTATATGCGCATTGCCATTTTGTTCCTATTAAATTTCACTTTCTGAGTAAACAAACCATTTAAGGTAGAACTGACATGCTTATACTAGATTTTTTTTTTCTGTCTTCATAATAATTGTTTTGAATATAATAATAACTATCCAAATCCTCAAACAACAGAATGTAAATTTAATCTTAGGTTTTATATTGGTTTCCATTTTCAAATATTGCAGTTTTGATACCTATTTGGACCACTTAAGAAATGTAAACCTTCACCAATAAAACACTGAACAAAGTCCTGGTAGAGCCGCCACCTCCTCTGTACAAAAATAGCTACTGGCTACCCTATAAGTGACTCGAAGATGCTGCTCTAATCGTTGCTACACATTGTGAAATGTTGACATTGGCTAATCCTAAATATGATTAAAATGGATTCAATTAACTAAAATTGTGGCTTTGTGCTTTGGTGATCAAGTTGCAGTGTGGATATGTTATTGATTTGGAACCTGCTTTGAGCAGTGGAACACGCCCACGACAACTCCCACTGCTCATTACACTACAGCAAACTCTCCAGTAAAGTTGCCCCAGTTGTTGTTTGAGTTGCATCTGCATGCAAACAGCCACCTACCAAAATTTGACCAGATTATGTTTTTGGCCGAAGTTGAAGCCAGCCAGCTCTGAGTCAATCTACAGAGATCACTGCAGCAACAGAGAACTGAATAAGCACAACATCCATATTTTTAAATAATTCACGAAAGACGATTTTCCTCTGAGGTTATTTTTTATTATTAAATATGCTTATTTGCTAAAAAAAAAAATCAAATTAAGATCATATATTGTGTCTAGATGTATAATTATATATTTATACATATATATGCACTAAATGCATTAAATTAACCAAACATAGGTTCTCTAGACTACTCACCATCTTTCATGAAATTCATGAAACTATCTGGATTCAATAAAATTCAATACTGCATCTCACTGCCTCAGAAGTTTCTTTTGAGATGCAGTTTAAACTGTTTTAGTCCCTCCCTCAATTATTTTAGTCTGACTTCCAGATCATCTCTAGCTGTTATTATACACCAATACATGCAGATCAAAGAACCTGCAGTGTAAATTGGCTCTGAAACAAATGGTGGTAAAGTGGTGGTGGGAATTTAGCTACCGGCTGTGCAAACATGCTTTTATGCCAGAAGTCTGCAGCATCTTCAAATAAAGTGATGAAATTAGACACCTTTATCAAAATCGTGAAACACAGAGGTAATTTAGCTTAGCTGCTTAATTTAAGAAAAAACACAAATACAAATCGACTCTTACTATCAATGCAAACTGACACATGGGGACCACAAAACTAGCATTGGCAGACATTTTAAATTTCTTTAATAAAAAAAAAAAAGTCCAAATCAATCCAGCTATAGATTCAAGATGGCAACAGGACAAAATTACCAGCACCCAATACCTGTCAAATAAATACAATTGTTTTGATTTTTGGCTTTTAAAGACAATTTAGCATTAACCCTTTTGTTTTATCAGCATTATCCTGAAGTCATTCTATCTATAAATGGTTTGAGGAGTTATATTGTCAAATAGACTTACATATTTTGTAAGAAGTACGTTTGTTTGAGTTACGCAGTCTTGCTTGGAAGAGCTGACTTGAAGAAAATCTGGGAAACAAGTAAGAAATGCAGTAATTCATAGTTTATTTAAAAAAATGAGCACTGTCTATATCCAAGTCACTGAAACTTTTTATAAGAAACTCAACTTTCCATTTAAAGTATTTTTTCCTTTGAAAAATTTTAACCTTCTAGATGTTTGGTCAGAAAACACCGCATATTTGTTTGGAGTTTGTAACCAAGCGAACAGCGCAGTGTCATCAGCAAACAGTGCTTACTATTTTTCTTCATTTTGTAGCCACATCCACTTAGACTATCACTGTGTCGATGCAGTAGCGTTATGGAGCAGATTCAGGTATTTTTTCTTTGAACTAGTCTCTTCATTCAACTAGTATCATGATGACCCCTAACTTTGCTTTGTTGTAGCTTTTTTTCAATGTTATACCAGAAAGTTGGGAACTGAGTCAGCCCTTGGCCCATAGTGCATACCGGTGGCAAAGATCAAGCTTGTTGACTATTTGTGGTTTGGGTTTCCCTCAGTTCAGAATAGTGCCTCTTTATGCTTTATAACAGACCTCAAGACCTCTTTCTCTCTCACTTTTGGGTCTGTCTCACTTCTTGTGTGTCTCGGGACCTCACTTTGATTTTCGTGGCATGTCACGTCATAGATGACATCATTTAAAACCGGAAAGCAGAAATTATCCTTTTTAACAGCAAAAATGAAACTGATACCGTGTTCCTCATGCATCCTGTATTACCAATACCCTCATACAGTCTCTTTTGTGCCTCTTCCTGAGGCGTTTGTGCTTTTTTAGGAGAGAGAATATGTTTGTGCAGGTACTCCTTGAAGTTGGCGATGAACAGTTTTAGGCAATCACCTTTCTCTTTATTGATTTAGATGCCTAAACTTCTTGCTTTTTGTCATGCCTTTGTAGATAGATGCAGTCGGTGAGAAACGAGCTGCGAGAAATATAAAAAAAAATAGTTACTTTAGACTATTTAAAGTGACACTTTTTTCTATTCAGCATGCTTTGTGCTAAATAAATGAAATAATTCAGTTATTTGCTATAA